TGATGCAACAATAAGAAAATACAAACATTGAGTAAAACGTTTTCCTGTTTTCAAAGTGATTACATCCCTTTTCCTAAACAAGTACATTACAATTCATTTACAACTATCAGTATGATCTAAAAAAATTTCAACAATAACTAATGCTTATTTTTAAAAATAACACGAGAGAACAGGAGAAAATCATGACAAGTCCGTGGATCTTAATATTTCAGTTCAATCAGCCTCACATCACTTCAGTTACATGACTAAAATGAAATACTGAAATGGTTTTGAAGATTCTGAAGAGACAAATTTAGACCAGAGCATGCTTTGCTATCAGAATGAAAATCTTGTCTTGCTGCAACCATATGAATTTTAATTAATTTAAAATGATCAAAGTTCTCAAAGAAAAAACTTGAGGGAACAAATATACATACCCCTATGCATACTACCCCTACTCAGTGATAGTAAGTGTTCCGACAGGCTGACATTACATTTTTGTACAACCAGTAGGACACATTTTACAGTATACCATTTGGCTTAAAAGATACAATGGCATGATTTTGAAATGAGAACTGTAAAAATGTATAACTGAAGTCTAAGTCAACATAATTCTTCCGAGGAAATTCCAGGTTTTCAATCTTGCATGAAAAGCCAACAAAAGTACTAGTTAGTCGCAAAAAAAATGTATTGTAAAAACATCTAAAATTCCTAACATTACGGATTAAATTACTATTTAAGGTAATCAACAGCATTCAAAATCACAAACTTTGTTAAATAACAAATAATTTGAATCAGTCTCATAGGTAAGAAGCTTTCTTACAAAAATCATTTCATAGATCATGATCTGCACAATGGATAAATTGAAAGTGTAAAACTCTCAGATATATGATTATTGGTGCCATCATATACACATCACCTAATTATCAAAACTCCCTAACTTAGATAGAAAAGTGCTATATGTAAAGAACTACGCAGACTGTTATTGCATGATACTCAGTAGTTTTACATGGTGGAGGGTACATCTAAAATATAGCATCATATAAACTTGGAAAAGGACAATGTAAAATTTCATAGTGCCATCATATGTGATTACATGCTTATCCATTGTAGTGCTGCAACATAATTTTTGGTGTTAAGGACTGAAAACCTTGATAAGAAACAGATAGAAATACTCCAAGGATCAGGGAAACATATGAGAAATAAAGTATTAGATAAGATCGTTTTCATGACAAAGTACAAACAAGTAATATTACATTCAGACTGTCATATTAAACTGCACAGCCACCAAGTCTTTATAAAAATAAGGGTTTTAAACAATGGCACTCTACAAAGATTATGACTGTTATTTCTGTTTCTCTTAAACTAAGCATTTTCTTTCTGTACAAATTGGAGACACAGGTCCTTATAGAAACCAGGATGACTTCAAGTACACTCAGGTTCAACATGAGACCTAGATGAGAGCTGCATTATCTTATGGTTTAGCATAGCATTGTGCTCCTTTAAATAACGGATTAGATCAGCCTGTTTAGCAAGTAAGTCATGGATGTGTTCATTTGGCTCTCTGAAAGAAAAGAAATTTCAATTTAGTTCTAAAATACATCCCCACTCTTGATGTCATCTTTATATGACATTTATAGAGAAATCACCTGTAGCCAACTTCACCCCCTGGGAAGCTGTCTCGCACAAAGCTCATCATCCAATCCTCTCGTTGAACGTCAGGGGGAGGCCTTGTCTCATTAAACCTTCGAACTTTCACTACAAGAGAGGAAAACGTAAATAGTTAATAGACAATTACACTGGAGACACCTTGATATAGGGTTTATACAGTAATTTACCCAAGTATGTCATCAGAACTGGAATAAGAATACCAGTTTCCAAAGTCATTAGTGCACCAATGACATTGTTAGGTGATAATGATATAGTTTCAGCTCTGCAACGCTGTTCCAGATCACCATAGACATGATGGTAGACCGATGTTATAACCAGAAGGATGGCATTCCCTTTAAAAAATGAGAAAGTTTTAAAAATTAAATTTTTGTGTTACATACTTCATGAGAAAGAGTGCCAACAATCAGATTGAAATATTAAAATGTTCTGTAAGATGACAATCTGATGCTTGTCTCGGATGCCACTAATCATGTCATAAGATACAGTAGGCATCAGTATCAGTAAGAAATGTGCATCATCTGTACTTACATAGGGAGATGATATAAAATGGAATTCTAATGTGACTTTCTGTCTGCTTGTAGAATTCCAGGTAACCATTAATTCTTAACATGCGGTGCTTCAATTTCAAATGTTGATGTAAGATCTGTAAAAATAATTGTGAAATAAAAATTACGAACAATTGAAGAAATACTCAGCTGCACAGAGAACTTGAAATATTTACACACCCAGCTAAGACACCAATATGCTGCATGTATGTAGACCAGGAGAAAAAATGGTTCACACTTATAACGGAATTCTGGGCTCAAACACAAGAGAGCAATTATTGCAACTTGAACAAGAACCTGTGAGAAAAATGAAATATATCAGTAATTAAGGTGAAAATATAAATACCAAGAATTGTGATGGTTGATGACCAATTCGGGGGTTTTGGCACAATCTGATTAATATAGGGGTAATACAGCAGGTGGCAGATTTGTAATGACTTAATACTACACGGTAACAAACTGCAATAACTATTTGTTGCAGGTCATTCCAGGATAATATTTCAAATTGTAGAGCAGCTCTGCTCAGTAAGACCGAGCGTATTTAAAACAACAACACCAGGAGATAAATGTTCAGCTTTAAATAAAGATTTGAAATACAGACAACTATAATGTTTGTAGGAAAAAGGGTATTTCAGCATTAGATTTAGAAAAGGATATAAAAGAGAGACTTAACAGGAAAAAATGAAATTTCTTACAATAACACATATTTTCAGCATTACTGGAACATAAGTATGCAGTTTCCTGAAGCCTACAACTTCATCAGCTCCATGCAATGGTTGGAGGCGCTCCACTTCGTCATCATCCCCATTGATCAAACCGTCGTTGAAAAATACTGCGCCCTGAAATATATGTCAGTTACAGTGGTAGAAAACAAATACATAACTCTTGTTGTAAAAACAGACAAAGGACTAAGAGCCTACAGCAGTTAATATGATACAAAGAGATTAGCAGTGAATAATCATTCAACAGTTAGATCAGCAAAAAAATACATGGAATGAACAAATTACCCCAGCAGAAGTGTTGACACTCCTTGACAAGCTGACCATGATGTCCAAATGAATTCTTCTTCTGTTGATTTATTTAAAAGCAAAAATCAATATTATGTTTTCAATTTTCTGTAAGTGAACAACGCGCCCAAACAAACGGCAGAAAGAATTAGGCTAGATTGCTTTGGTTCCGTTGGTTCGCGAATCTTTAAATCAGTTGTCACACAGATGTCACAGATGTTCCAAACGTACACCCCTCAAATATACAGTAGATGAGTCACGCCGAAAATATCATATTCCATAGGAATAGTCGCTAAAAAAAAGAAAGCTGTGCTCTAACATTACCAAGAACAATAATACATGACGGCAAATATCTTGTTGTTTTCGTAGATGTCTGCGAGTACTACCATAGTTGTCTAAAGTATAGGAAATTAAGCAGGATTTTTTTTTAAATGTTTAAAACATGAGGGTCTTATCCCCGAAAGAAGTGTAAATACTTAAGACTTATTACTACACGTTATCAAATAACTTCCTGTATCATATAAAAGAAGATAAAGTAAGAAAATTTGCAGTACGCCAAAACCTACCTAAGACTTCAAAATTTACACGTGATTGATACCAACATTAAAAAATCTGCACTATTTAAAGAAACGCTAATTAGGTAGAACTGTTGCAAGCTGTGTTACAAAGTTTACATTCTTTTCGAAGTCAATAGTTTGAAATGATACCATGGAAAAACATGCGATAGAACTATCACACAGTAGTCAAACAAGTAACGCCCTGAAGTTGGTGTCGTACAATTGACAACGTAGAAAAATAATCCATGAGGCAGTGAATAAGGGTTGGAATCGGTCATTAAACAGCTGGCATTTATCAACATGTCGGCTGCAGAGTCGGTAGTTTCGCAAATACAACATTATCAAAAAAGCATTCAAAAGTACCATGGAAACTCGTCCAGGGTAAGGATAGATTAGTGCATGTCACCTTCATTTCGTTCCTCCCTTGTTTGTATTCCCGAAACTTTAGTCACTATCATAACTTTTCCAAATGCTCTGCGTCAAGGACTATCATGACGTCCGAGGGATGTCGTTGTTGAAAACAATTTAGGCCTACTTGCCGTTTTATTCTCAGTTTACTTTAATGACAATTACTATTTGTCAGAATATGGTGTTTTCTAGCAGAGCTTAGTAGAGGGGCTTTCATAATTTATTACCCACATGAATAAACAGGCTATATGTCCTGATTAAAGAGAAATTTTCAGAAAAATTTGAGATTTTAATAAATGATCACAAGAATAATAATGGAACCTGTTTTATGAGAGTAATAATCAATAAATGACAGATCCACCATTTCAGTATTTTGATTTGATCTTCTCCATGCTATGTGCATACCCAATGTTAGTTCATGGGGAATTTGCGTCTCAACAGGGTTGTTTGGTTGTATATTTCACTCATATTTGCCTTTCAGATTCTTCATTGCATTAACAAATTATATAGTCTGCCGGTGTCAGTACAACATTTACAAGACACTGGTGTAGGGAAGACTATCAATTCTCTTCGGAAAAGTGATGGAGAAGTAGGAGAGTCTGCTAGGGCTCTTGTCTACAAATGGAAGCAAATGGTCGAAGACGAATCAGAAAATGAACAGGAGGGTAATGCAAATATGCGGGCACATTCAAAATATAATGGCAATTCAGAAAATGAAAATCACAAGGAAAAATTTGAGAAGCGAAGCAGAGAAAACTCAGATAAGACATCTAGATCCGACGAGCATTTGAAATCCGACCATAGTAAAGATTACAAAAGGAAAAGAGAATCAGATCATGATCAGATCAAAGATAAAAGATACAAGAGTGAGAAAATAGACAGTATCAAAAACTATAATGACGAAAGTACAAGAAGCATTAATGGCAATAGCGAACATTTTGGTTCAGAAGAGGAATGGACTGTCAATAGGCAAGGTAGTGGAAGTGAAGATGATAGGGATACAAGGCATACTTATATTAAAACCGAAAGGAATTCTAGTGAAGAACGCTATGCTCAATCTTCTGATGATGATATTCAACATGAAAAATCAAGCAAGCAAGAGAAGTCTTCTCAGAAGCAAAAAAGTAAAACCTCTTCAAGCAGCTCTGATAGAAGTAAACATTCATCAAGTAAATATGAACATAAGGAAAGTAAATCATCAAGCAGTAGCAAACATAAAGAGGAAAAATCGTCCTCTGCGGGAAGTAGTTCTCATACCAAAAAAGATTCTAGTAATATATCGGACAATAAAGGTGAAGGCAGATCAAAAAGCAGAGAGAAGGACAAGAAAGATAAACACAAAGACAAGCATAGGAGCAGAGAGGAGAAGAAGTCCTCTAAAGATAAAAAAGAAAAAGAGAAAAAGAAATCAGAAGATGATGAAGATGGTGTTGATTCTTTTTCAGGTAAGTTGTCTGTTGTCTTTTAATATATATTATTCACCTTACCATGTAATAGCATAAAATCCCACTGCTAGGTAAAAGTTTTGAAGCAGCCCTCGGTATGATGTTTCCTCCTGAGAAGTCAAAGAAGAAGTCTATGTCAGGTACCTCATCATCACACTCTCCATCTAAGAATAAATCTAAATCATCTTCTAGTGGTTCGGAGAAGAAAACAAAAGATGCCGATAACTATTCCTATGAGGTATGTTGTGCATGGTTGACCTGATAGTTGATACTACTTAGACTTTGTTCCTGCAATCAAAGAACCACAGGTTATTTTTGAACTTGTTTTTCCAATTCCAATGTGTCAAATAGACTGTCAGTTGTGTTGACTATAAAATCTGAATTTTTCTTCAAAATTTTGTGGTTGTATCCACAATGTAGATACTGTATTCATTCAGCTTAAACATTAAGTACTCTTATTTTGAGTTGTACCTTCATATGTTGTATCTGTCTATTTTAGATGGAGCAGGAGTTCCCTCCACAGTTACCACCATCAATAGATGTTGATGAAGATTATGGCCTACCAACTTTAAATCCAAATTACAAACCACTGCCACAGCCAAATTTCTTTAACTCTCCCCCTAAACGATACCAAAGTGAAGATGCATTGAGTGATGCTCTATCAAATATAATGTATTCTAAAGTTCAAAGGTAAGTTATTTGTTTTAACAAATGAGTTAATCACATTTGAATTATTTAAAAAAATATTTAACTTCAGAATAAACTGTTACTTTCCATATTTTTAGAACTAAAGTCTACTCAGGGAACAAAACTGGATATACCCATGTTCCTTCACTTTTTGATTTGTGTACAAGAGTCCTACAAGAAAATATAGACGGTAATTAATTATATCTACCTAACTGCTCATTCTTTGACTATATTGGATATTTCTCTAGTCGTATTAATATATCTGTCTGAACAGCTCTAGAATATACGGGTGGTGTTCCATTTGACCTATTAAAACCTGTTTTGGAGCGAGCAACCCCTGACCAACTTTTCACATTGGAGCATTACAATGCATATTTGATAGAAGACACTGATATGTTTTGGGAATATCACTGCAAAAAAGATTTTCGAAATAAGAAACGAATAGAAATGGAGACATGGAGAGAAATGTACCAGGTAAGCAGAATGTGCAATGGAAAAAGAAGTGTTAAAAATAAGCAGGAATTTGGATACAATTATTATCCTAGTACCCACTTTGTATCAAGGTATAAAAAGCCCTGTAGCTTTTAATGCTCTATCATTTTGATTTTTTTCTTTTAAAATGTACTTATCAGCAAAAATTGTTTTCATGTAAAATGTTCTTACTTTCCTCAGAGATGTCATGAGGAACGAGAAAGCAAATTAAAGGCGTTAAAAGAAACCATTGCAGCCTCAGCAAAAGCAAAGTTGGCACCAGTGCGAAAGACACAGTTAGCTTATATTGAAACTACAGCAAAACCACCACGCAATGTTGCAAGAAAACAAGTGAGTTGTCTTCATATTTCATATGATTATCTCAACAAATTTACTTGTAGCCATTAACTGTTTTGATGTTTCAGGCAAAATTTGGCACGGCTCATTCATCAACCTCATCAGCATCGTCAAAGCAGGATGGTTCAGGTTTCAGTTCATCGTTTACGGGTAGATCCTCTACGACTATAGGTCCTGCAGTGTCTGTTCCAGCTCCCAGAGGAGCTGGGGCTAGCAGTTCCCACTCAAGTGAGTTCTGTATTTCATGTCAAGTTTTATTCCACTTTCAACCTAGTCTTGATTAATGTATTTCTCTGTTTTTTGTTGTAGATTCTTGCAAACCAAAGCCTAAAGCACCACTTATGCAGAAAGCTCTGCAACTCATCAAATCCAACAGATATAGACGATAACTTTTCTTACTTGATGAACAAATTTCTTTTGTTTCTCTCTGCAAAATGAAGTATAGTAAATATTTGTAAAATTTGTACATTTTTTTAATACAGTTTAAATGCTCTTCAAATGCATTAGTTTGAGCTTAAACTCAATGGATTATGTGAAGTTTAAGATTATGATCCTATGAACTGGAAAGGGAAAAATATATTGACTAGTCGACTACTTGCCCAGTTCTAGCTTCAAAGTCAAAGTTTTTCCATTTTGAAAGAAAGGCTTTTTAATGCAATATGATTTGGTCTCTTGCTGAACATTATCTACAAAACACATTGTGGTTTCCGCGTGGAAATGATTGGCAGATTAAAATCAAAAGAGAATACATGAGTGAATTTTGGTTGCCGGGCAATCTCTACATTACATTTCATTATACATTAAAAGTCCTTTCTTATGAAACAATATAAAAAATGTACATTCATGTGATCTTTATGTATGTTCTCATTAGGAGTTAAAATTTTTCAGGGTTCTGACATCCTTGGTTGTACATGTACAGTACCTTGATGTTTTAGTCATACTTGTTTTATTGTATGACCATCTTCATAGAGCATTGAGTGAATCTTTATTATTTTACTTTTCTTTTCCTCAACAAAAGAATTTTGAGTGTAAATTACGACTCAGTGGTATGGTGATGGAAACTCCGTACTGTTAAGAGGCACTCTGTTCAATGCTTATCACATTTTTTATGGATTTTTGTTCTGTGTTTTAGATAATTTTTTGTGCCCACTGACACCAGTTCTAATCACACTTGTTTACATTTCAGAATTAAGGCAATAACTTGTCTGCTGTTAGTGTACTTTGTATCATTATTTGCATGTCTTGTCTTTTAAATTGTGTATCTGACATAAGAGCATGGCTGTGAACATTTAATATTGACTCTTTGGCCCTTCATTCTTTTTTAAAATTGAACCTTGACATATTTGGCTCTCCCTGCTTCATTGATACTTGTTGGTCTGTTTCGATGGCTGTGTCCAGATTCTAAATTGGTATAATATGTGGAGGAGATGGGGAAGCCATTACATTTGCTTCCCCCTTTTCTCTACAATTAGAATTTAGATACAAGCTAAATATAATTAAAGATGACATTATGAACGCACATGTATTCTGGCTATTTCTTTAAGCAATTTTTCCATGCATGGAAGATACAAAGTAATCATTTAAGAAGAACCCAGTTATTCTAGTATGAATGTGCCTTTGATGAACTTCATTTCTTAAGGATTGCTGAGATTAACACTGTTTTCATGTACCATGCACTGATGTTCCATTGTTATGATAAACAGTAAACTTTTATGGTACATCTCTACTTTCAACTTTTGAAGTTGCAAGGCAGCGCCTTTTCATTCCATCAGCAGGAACTATCATAAGTGGGACTGAATTGTCTGCAACAGATAGTAGCCAGGAAGTATAGCACTTAAGTGCATGAATGCATTAAGAATACAAGGATTAAACCTTTAAATCCTTAATTACTAATAGCTTGATCAGTATGTGATATCACCTATTCAACCAAGTACGCTTGGAATTGTTAATTGTTGGCTTAGTTATTGTCCCTCACCACTTCCAGAACTCAGATAGTTTAGAAGTTCATGGGTACTTCTAGCAAGGTGAGTATAGAACAAAGAATAGACAGATTGAAGTGACATCATCATTCCACATGGTTGTGCCCCTGTGGAAGTGCAAGACCAATGTGAATAGTTTACTGCTCTTTGTACTATTAAGTACATGTAGTGACAGTTGTGAGGTGGAACTGATGCCACATAAATTATCAAATTAAGTTAGTGTAAAGAATAAATTCTGCAATGTTCTGTAACTGATGATTCATTTGTGCAAGTACCATGAACAAGCTCTGGATTTTAAACAAGATTTATTACAAACATATCTTCACTCACACAGAATACAATGAAATATGGACTCAGCTGTGCAGCATTGATTAGCAACCAGAGCACTGTTGGATGTCAAGTCCAAAATAGTTCTGTTTCAGCATGAACTAATTGTGCTGCTACAAATGACTGTGGAACTCTTTGGTTTTTAATGTTTAACTAAGCTATCGCTTCTTTGAAGGATGTTAAGCGAGCTCACATATCAAGATTTCAGCTGCACAAGCAGGTAACTAATTACACCTGTAGTATCAGCAATATAGCTTTTACTTTGAATGAAAAGATGTTTAACTGATGCTAGCAGCAGCTTGACTGGAAGCATCACCGGAATTGGCTGCTTGCTCTGCTTGCTCTGCTTGTCGTTTCCTGCTCTTTTCAAGGAAGATTACTCTTCTTGCAATAACAGCTGCCTGGTGGTTGTAGACCATTCTCCCATCTGCACTAGGTTCAGCTGCTCTGTAGGCCACTCTCCCTGATACGTAACAACGTTGTCCTCTCTCAAGGGCTTCAATTACAATATTGGCTAATTCTTTCTTGGTAACAAGTACTTTGTGCCAACATGGGTAGGTTTTCACTGTGAAATAAACAAAAAATAATTTCAAGCTCCAATTTCAGTTTTTAAAGTGGATTCATTTGACACATACCTGTTCCATCTTGTAGCTTCACAACAGATTCTGTGTACAGCGGGAAAGCAACAGCATCATTGGTTCCAATTTTTTGAGGTTCCCTACCGACTCGTCCTAACAACTCAACATTGTTGACAACTGTAATAACACACATATGAAACTGTTGGTCAGTTGCACCCCATGGCAATGTTATACTGCTTCAATTAAGCTGATCACATACTTACAGGCACTCATCGCTCGTACACTGTTTGCAGTTAAGACTGGTAATGGGCTACTGCAGGTCCTAACGACATGTTGAAACATCTGACAAAAGACACAGATCACGCATGAGCATTATAAGGTATGTCACTGAAAATAAGAAAACACTGAATAAAGAGAGTTTAGCTCTCTTATTTGACCAGTAAATGAAGTAGTTCAGAAGATGTATAATTAAAATCCAGCAAACTTACTGATGATTGCCTCTTCAATTACAATAAAGTATTAAGACGTCAGAAAATAAATATATTCTACAATTTCCAATTATTCTAGGTGAAAACGTCGAAAATAGTTAACGGAAATTTCAGGCAAAAAAATTATAGTGCATTATGAACTAACCTCACCGGCAACAATGCCTGCATTTAGTTACTAGTATAATTAAGCGAATTTGAACCTCAAAGAAAAGTCGAGGGTGATTTCTATTGCGTAAAACATCACATGAATTACTACTTGCCATAAGAATCAATGAGATTTAAAGGAAGTAGATCGACTAACCACAATCGCTTTCTCGGCTACAGAGTACGACTCTATTATTTAACTAACTTATAACCACGGATATAAACTTACCGTCCGAAGAGCCATTGTAAACAAGGAGAAATTTGAGTTTTTTCGCAAGTGAACGATATTCTAACGCGAAATCCAAACGACCGGAGACTGGGAAGATGCGATCGACGGCTAAGCAGACGGACTTCAGGAAGATGAACTCGGCCCCCACGAGGTGCGATAGGCGGAGAGGCGCAAGGGGCGCAAGCCGGAGGCGGGTGATGCAAAACTTGAAGAAAAACAAAAACAAGGGAAGCCAACATTTGGTGAAAAATTTGTAATAACCTTTAAAACTCCAAGCACGATTGAATGAAGCAACTCAAGGTAAACTGTAAGAATCTTCTAAATTCTAAACGTAGGAGCTGAAAGCTCTGACATAAATTGTGCTTATTTCGTGTCTGTGTTGAGTTCCGAAATTGGGGTAGCAATACTGATGGGAACAGGAAGCACGACATATGACGTAGATGGGCGGTTGATTCAAATCACTTGAGCTCAAAGCAAGCAACCAGAATCTTCAAAGAGGTATTGGTAACAAATCGATGCAAAGGGGAAGTTTTTTCTTTTTTTATTTGCAGAGAACTACAACATAATACCAATACAAAACAGATATGAATTTTAGAACAACCATAATTATAAAGGCAGTCAGGGGTACCTTCCATGTTAAAACTATGACACAGCAAAGTTAATCTAGATGGTAAAATGAGTGCAGTAGCGCCCATCCATCAGAGAATATTATTTGTGACAAACTATAAAATCACAACCTATCACACGTATGTTTAGGACATAATGTGATAAGAATTATACATCTATCAATCAAATTGCACTATTTCAAAAAAAAAAGTTTGCCAGCACAAGCACCCACATTAAGACTATACTTAAACACTGATCAGATGGAATGCAACCTAATACAGGTACTTATTATGTAAAACATCAGAAAATTTAACTCCCTTATGAGCAAAAATAGCGTAAATAGGTAAGCTTTTTAGTTCATAAAGATATTGCAGGGTCATGACTATAAAGTGGAGAGCTGCCATGTCACTAAGACAATTTTACTTAAACTCGAGAACATATGTTTTCATTAGCAAGTCATTATAAAAGTTCCTTAAAACAAAAGTACAAAATGATTACAATTAAATAAAAGACATTGTCTTCGATACGTAGGGGTAAGATGGAAAGAATTAGGACTCATCTCAATAATACAGGACGACAAAGTAGGAATGTGAAATCTTCTAGAAATGCATATATAAGAATATGTTTGCCTGTCAAGTGCACATCCTTTTTGGCACAATAATGTGAGATTCAAAAACTTGAAAAATGTGACTTTAACAGTATCACAATGGCACTTGATTTGTTCGATAGAGCAAGGCACAATGTGAATTTAGAAACAAATAAGAGTGAAACAGGAATTATATTCTGAAACAAGGTAAAATATTTTGGAATGTCACAGCCAACTAACTGAGCAGTTTCAAAAGATACAGCAGTTAATAAGTATACAAATTGTGAAAAAACAGTGACTTTAAAAAATGCTTAAATTTAGAGAGAAAGATTTGAGTATAAAACCAAGAGAGTTCATTATTATATTCTGTATCAAGCACATACTAGAGCAAACTGAAGCAGATCTGTGACAAAATATAACTAGGTTAACATTGATCCTAATGTACTTCAATTTTTACCAGAATTCCCTGAAGCACGGTTGGTTTTCGCTTCCTCTGCTGCCTTCCTTTTGGCTGAATCTTCAGCAGCCTTTTTCAACTTCAATTCCTCAGCAGCTTTCCTTGCTTTTGTTTCTTCAGCTATCTTTCTTGCTTTGGCTTCCTCAGCAAGTTTCTTGATTTTGGCTTCCTCTGCCAGTTTTTTTGCCTTAGCTTCTTCAGCAGCTCTCTTGGCGTTTTCTTCTGCTGCTTTTCTTGCCTTTGCTTCTTCAGCAGCCTTCTTTGCAGCCTCTTCAGCAATCTTTCTTGCTCTGGCTTCCTCGGCAGCCTTCTGCTTTGCCTCTTCAGCAGCTAATCGAGCTTTTGACTCTTCAGCTGCTTTTCGGGCAGCAACCTCAGCCTCCTTCTTTAAGCGAGCAGCTTCTCCAGCAGCCTTCCTTGACCTCTCAGCTTCTTCAGCAGCTCTCTTGATTTGATCTTCTCTTACTTTCTTAGCTCTGACTTCCTCAGCTGCTCTCTTTGCGGCCAGCTCATCCTGCTTTCTGTCTTCTGGGCTTGCTTCTTCATATCTCACTGATTTGATATGAACTGTGTTAGGTGCATTGGGGCGAGCAACACGGCCAATATAGTTGTTATAAGGTGACGCAAGAAGAATGTAATCTCCAGAAACAATCATGTCACTCACATGATTTACTGATCCATCTCTCCCAATGAGTGCATCTCTAATTTGACCATTGGAATCCAAGTTCAAAATGTTCACACCGTTCTCAGATAAACCGGCAGTGCTGCTGAAGTGACCAATCTGAAACAGACAAAGGTATAATGGCTCACCCAAGTAATATAACAAAATAAATAATTATACATAATGCTACCAATACTAACAAAATGTTTTGCACGGCGACAGAAGTAATTAGGGTAGAAATTGTTGATCTGGTCAAATGGAAGTTCAAGGAGAAAAATAACACGGCTCAAAAACTTTCTGATGTTGGGGAAAGGTCCAAGGACAACAGGTAATGCTGGGTGAGACTCATCAGCAATCTGAACAAGTGATACGTAAAAACCACCCTGGCCATCAATTCTGATATTGTCCGGTAGGCCAGGTAATCCTTCAGCAAACACACTAACAGTGCCCTTTTTGTTTCCTTTCAGATCATACCTGTGATACATTGGAATTTTAAGTTGCAACCCTTAAAACACTATGATTTCTATTGTTCAAAATTTTAATAGTGGATATGTAATATGGATTTACCTCATCACACGAGCACTAACAGTTTCGGAGAATACAAGAAAATCTTCATTTGATGACAGAGCTACTCCATTGGGAAACAGCAAGCCATCTGCTAAGACTGACACCTTTTTACTCTGAGGATCGTATTTGACAAGTCTGAGTGAAAGAAAAATTAGGATTTAAAATTAATAAAATTACATTCAATTGATTAATTAAAATGACCATGAGATGTAGGCACTACAGTTTCTTATCATTAAAACCTCTCACCGTCCATCACCAGGAGCTAGAGCTGCAAAAAGACCATCATAAAGTGGGAAAGTTGTGCTTGAGACACTGAAATAAACAGTGCCATCTTTAGCAACATCTAGGTCATTAATGAATTTAGATTTCTTTCCTTCAATTTCTTCATTTGCACCAACTAGCAAGGTTTTTTGACCTGGATGGAACAAAACCAATTATGGTATAAACTGTGTATAAACAAATAAAGCAATTTCACTGTAAGGTAAATAATAAAATACCTGTCTGGATATTGTATTTAAAAATGCCATAGTAGGCATCAGCTACATATAAGTTGCCTGCTGCATCAAATTTCAAACCGAGGGGACGTCCACATATATGTTCATCAGTAATATCATCTGAATATTACATGGTAAAAAAAGACTTTCAATGGCGGAGATCTAATTACTTCTGATACTTAAGTGCAATGATCCAATACTACTCGATACAAACCACAATTTTCACCAAATTTGACTACGGGCTTTATTTCACCTCCTTCGATCCGAACAACAAAGCCACCGTGAATTCCAGTGTAAACTATACCATTGTACATAGCAAAGGCCTCAGGGCCAGTGAACTGCCCCTCAAATATACGTTCTGCTTTGTCAAGATGCCTTCTTTGCAACAATTCTGCACCAAGGGATTTTGGTTTTGCGACGCTATCAGAAAGGTTGAGAATAAAATTTGAATAAGTGGTAAATTAAATGTTGTTGCTGAGGGAGTTGGAAATCCTAACAAAGTATGAGAACATTGTGGCCATACCACACTGTGAGAACAAATAAACTTACCTGTACTCTTTATATTCAGCATGTGGGGGTATGCCAGGTAAGAAGGTAATCAGCAAACATACTAGAAAAAGTTTTGTAATGCTCCACACGAGGGAGAGGCAGCCCATTTTGGTAAGATAATTACTAAAAACATACAGAAACAAAGGAATATTGTTAAAAACTAATGCCTAGATTGAAGTAAAAAGTAACTCGTATGTGTAAAATACAAATGAATGAGAACTGTGAAAGACCCGAGAGATGCCGTAACATTAATTAGCAGATTAACAACATCGGAGTATTGAATTCAAAGGATTAGATAATCTTGTGCACACAAATTGTTGACGAAAGTAAAAATTTGGAAGTGACAGAGCAAATTACACTTGATATTTTAACAGTAAGTTTGACACTTGTGAACAGCAGAGTAAAGCAATCATAGATCCTGTATAACCGGATTCAGTATCCTAACCACAGTTGGGATTAATATAAATACGGTCTGAAGATTTTAAAAATAGGAATAATGACCTGAATTTGTGAGAACAAAACAGAGAACATCGGAGTAAAGTCCAAATTGCAAGTGTCAACGTAGCAATCCCGACCGACCGGGCCGACAGCAGACAGCCTGATGATTACTCAGCTTATTCCAACGTTCACATCACTCCCACAGAATGTACAAGCCAGAGGTGACTTTCCACTCAGCCTCAGTGATAAGAACAGTTTGTTTCTTTCGATACTCACCACTCACTTCACGGTTGCCGATGCCCTGACCCCTTTGACAAGTTAGGCTGCTTGCTCCCTGCTGACAGTGCAGTCAGAAGAGAGTCAAAATCAGACTGAGAAAGTGAGGTTGGCGTGTTCGTGGTCTTGTTGGTAACCGCCGACCGCCGACTCTCAACTGTTGATAAGTTGCCTGACCTGACCAAGACCGGAACCAGAAAAAGGGAGGGGGTCAATTCAGCCTTTCTGATCTGTCTTATCACATATGAATACTACATAGTTCTGTAGAATCATTGTGCTACATTTGGCGGATGAAAGCCGTTCATCGATCGTGCTTTACGGCACCCAAAGGGGCCATAGCTCGGCCTTAGCCTCGGATCAATGACCGAGGCTCCACTCTGCGGCAGTGTGGCTATGAAGGGAAGTCCACTTTGAATTGTGTATTTCCACCCCTATAACAGGAGGACGAAGGTTGTCAAGGATATTGTACGCACCCAAGGAATAGGAAAGAAGAGCACAAAAAACGTAATTTTTGCATAGATACATTTATTGTCTTCGTATTTACATGTGACGTTCTTATGTTAGTGTTTAACCTAGAGTTTGAGAGCTTCCCAATGAAAGCCGTACGGTTAAAGAGCGGAGGAAAGAAATAACGACGACTTGGAGAGAACTTTAAGGTTGTGCCTGGCATACTTGGAGCAGCTTGGAGCCGCGTAGCCTAGCCGGCCTTTGCTTGCTTCGCTCTGCTTCGCTGGACCCAGGACAAGAGTAGTAACACTCGTAGCATCATGGCGCTTAACAACAGTCTGCACAGCAGTTAAAAGGTATTATCACAGATCCAGAGTGCTTTTCATTTTTTAAATAATGTATTTTCTTTAAATTTTATGTCTTTCTGTGGCCGGACCGGTTTGATGGCCCAGTAAGAAATGACACCCTATAGTCATGTTGTACTTCGACGTAAGTACTGAGTTGGCCATTATTTACGTCGGTTCGATTTCCATTCCACTACCTCGCGTGTCGCTTCTTACTGGGGCTTGGGGGCTTGCGGTTGATCAAGAACCTAACATTCCTAAATACTTGAGCACAATTTAACATTATGATACAATGGTAAGGATATGTTCAGAACTGAGGTGAAGGCACAAACACTTCACCCGGATTCGTCCTAGCTGGATAAATCAGACAAAAGAAACAAGAGCTGCCCGAGCTTTGATACTGCTACGGAATACTACTGCAAATCAGAAACAATTCAAACCGTGGGTCTCATTTGAAAGTGGCTTTGAAAAACTTTGGCTTATTTTGCTTTGATTTTCTAAGTCTGATTATCACGATTGGACATTCACTTCTTTCTCAGGACAAGTAAATTTTGAATTTTGAAAAGCCAAGGTAAACTTAGTGAAGTAAACAAAAATTAGTCAAGGAGAATTAAATTTTACGCAGAATTTGCTTTTAAGAAGTTTCTCCGCAGCCTATGCGATTGGTATCAGTTGATTAGAAAAACACACTCACCCATACTCTCGCACTCACACACGCTTTCACACACTCTCCCTCACACTTTCTGTCTCTGTCCCTCTCACACACACGACGGATCCGTGAGCAACCGCTCACCCCGAGACTCAGCAGCCTCTGCTGCTCTATAAAGACAATGCGTCAACATATTCGAAAGAACAACAAAAATCACAGCATGCACATAATTATCCTAACTTGAAATTACAATGATTTTCCCTCACCATAACTTTTTTTAAACTAACAGATGCTTGTATAATGCGTAAGTCTGGATGAAGCGCCAAATGATTGCACCACAAAAAGGACAACCTAGTTGAAAGAAAAAATAAACTGAAATAAAAAAGTGACGCCGCGGCCTCCAAACTCGCTTTAGCCCCTCAAGCTCGAGGCTGACATCGGTGGGTCAATGCCAAGGGAGGCATTCTGGCCACTTTGATCGACTATGTTGTAGCCTCATAGAGGAGAGAAGAGGGGGGAGGGGGTGAGAGGGCGAAGGCGAAGAAGAGTAAAGGAGAGAGTCCAGACGAAACACGAAAAAAAAAAAACGGAAGTCAAGTGGTTTTCTCATTCCTCCCGCGAGGACGTTTGGCACATGCCACTCGTCGTATGTAGGGCTGACTGGACGGAAGGCGCGAAGCAGAGGGTTGGGGAGGATGAGAGAAGGGGGGGGGCGGGTTGCGAGCAAAGAGGCTGCGGATCACCGATTTGGTCTTTCATGTTCGTACATGATGAAGAGTACCGATAACAAAATTGCCTGTACAATATGTTACAATGTCCCTTTTTAAAAGTAAGAAATCCAAGGTATTTGTAAATAGTTATATATTTATAGTATATCTTTGTTTCATAAATGAATAACCCTTCTTGTTTTAGTTGACTAAACACACAGGTTAGGCCCAGGTAGGGCCGGCAGGGCGCTGCTTCGCTTGTGCGGCGGGGTGTGGCGTGGCGGAGCGTGGCGTGGCGTGGTGGGGCGTGGCGGGGCGGGGCGTAGCGTTGGTGGCGGCGAGTCACGTCTATCACACGAGCAGCATGCCTTATCACTCTCCATAACATTGTATAAAAGTCTCCTATTCATATATAAAGACGAAGCGTTGAGAAATGTTGATGATTATGATGATTTTTATGATGATGATGTCGATGATGATACGGTGGCGATGACCATGGTGAAGGGGATGCCAAGGTGGTCGGAGTCCTGACCACTTTACTGGAAAATAGAAAAGAAAAAAGTGTCAGTACAAACTAGCTGTCACTTGCCAAAGTTTGAAATTACATTTTTCGGGTTAAGTTATATATGTCATAAACTTGGCTTTACGCTACCCACGCGCCATTCGAGCAACTTGTGATGTGGTGTCAAACGCAACAAAGCGCAACGTGGTGTCAGCGATTCGCCAAAAAAATGTACGATAATGCAGTGAAACCAAAGCAGCAAACCAATCTCTCCTATACCGCCCCATCCTAAGATTTCATCTTTTCCCAGCGTCTTCTCAACAAACTAGCCTATGTGTCAGACGAGACTGTAATATATATACTCCTGTTATACAAGAGAATAGCCTGAAACACTGATAAACGAAGTGTGCAACTGCTAAATACTTCTGCAACTGCAAGTTAAATACTCGCAAGTGTGCAACTGCAAGTTGAATACTTGCTAGTGTGCGACTCCTCGGTTGAGCGCACTTCCAACAGAGTGAGCGTTCAATATAAAGAGCGACATTCGTACATAAGTATTTACGGTGTGTATTTAGCTTCATATAAGTAAAATCGAGCACTGGAAAAACTAATGTGACATGTGTCACATTACAACTGTGACTGACATCCTTTATGTCGTCTGTGTGGTGTGACCGCATTTTCGGTCACGCTTGTAGTGTGACCTCCTGTGGGTTCTGCCTACACCTATTTAGCTAATGTTGCATCAATTGGTGTGACTTAAACTAAGGTCACATTACATGGTGTGACCAAAACTGGTCACACCAATTGATGTGACACATGCCAAATTAGTTTTTCAGTAAGGGTATTCTGATTGTTGACCCCAAATAACAACCTCTATCCCTCTAAGCCTAAAAATCCCATAAAAAACATCGTCCATAGTGGGATAGATGACCAAAATGTCAGGCAACATGCTTCAGCTACTTTAAATAGCTCCACTTCTTGTAGCCCTTTTATAGCAGACTCTGAAGAAGTCGTGGGTGTGATTTTCCACCCAGCTGCAAACCTTGCCGTAAATGATCCTTCTCATCTAATGCACACTACAAACGGCTCTTTGTAAGTTTTCCTCATAGAGGGTGGCAAACAGACACAGGAACATTTCGTAGTTGTACTGTTATTCTGCTGCACACCATGGGGCCTTCTCTCACAGGGCCATAAGGCGCCGTATGGCGGTAGGCAAGCCCACCACCCCCACGGCTACATGAGGTACAGAGTAACTACGAAATTTTCTGGGGTATGTTGGTCACCCTGTATTGGGCATAAATGACGCACACGCTTGAGTTTTGAATATGGAATCTACGAAAGCAGCCACCCGACGCGACTGCGGCATGGCAGTGCAGCAGCAGGCCGGCAATGGAGTACACAAAAAAGGATTAGCTGCACAGCTAAACCAACAGCTAAATACGGGATAAGCAATTATTTAGCTAAATTATTAGTTATACCGTATTTAGCTTTGGGTTTAGCTATCCGGCTAATCTTTTTTTTTTCCATGCACCAAAACGGCAAAACGGTGCAAGGCTTGGTCGCGCGCACAAAAGGACGCCGCCTGCACAATCTCCTTCGCACTCGTTCACGCAAAACCCCTAGCTAGCGAATAAAGCGTCTACGCCGCCACGGTGGTGCTGCGAGTGAGTCATGAGCGCCTGCGGATGGCGCGGTAGGCAGCGCGCTGCGCTCGCGTGCTCGCCGGCATGACGGTTGCCTACTCGCCCGGCGCCCGGTCCGCTCAGGCCCGGCGCGGGGGTGGGACCGGGTGGGACACACCACGCCGCGCCGAGCACGACCCGGCAACAGCTTGTCTGAGCACTTCAGGGTGTCGGAAGGGAGGAGCAGCGAATAACTAAACAGCTGGCAGAGGTTTGGGAATGGCAATAGAGCGGCAAATTTTTCGACTCGAACTGCCTAACGCAGTGGGTGCGAAATGCATTAGATCTGCTTTTTATTGGAAAAGGAATAAAGAATAAGCGGCTTAACGCACGGGGAAAGGGTACTTGGGAAGGGCGGTAGTCTTGAAGGAAGCACAGCTAGTTACTTGAGCACAAAAATAAGGAAACTTTTTTTTTTTGAGGAGGCGAGAGTACAAGAAAAGGCAGAGAAAGAAGATATGAAGAAGAGGAGAAGAAAAAGGAGGCGCAGGCAATTAGTCACACAGAAGCGGTGGTTACCTACTACCTACCCTAAGGTAGGGGAGTGGAGTGGCCCGGCGTGGCGCGGCCAGGCACCAGGGTCACACACTACATGATGGGCTCAGACAACCTGGAGCAGGCACAGTCAGTACGCGAGCGGAGCGAGTTGTGTCGATGATGAAGATGGTGGTGAGGATGATGATGTTGGTGGCACCCACTCCGTCCCCGCTACCACCGCTACGGGTTGGTGGGGATCGAGTCTAGGCTATTGTCTGAGCTGCGGCGGGACAGGGCCGACAGGGCGAGCGAGGGTGGACCACTAACCAGGGACGTGGTTCCGAACAGCTTGTACCAGCCGATCACCATGGCGGACAGGTTGAGATCGTCCAACATGATCTGCGCCACGCCCATGAACACCTTCTTGCCCTCGATGCGACCGTAGTCGCCCCACACCGTCACCTGCGGTCACAGAAAACAGCTCGTGTGCAGATTCTAACGACGAGAGAGAGGGGGAGAGAGAGGGGGAGAGAGAGGGAGAGGGGAGAGAGAGGAGAGAGGAGAGAGGAGAGAGAG